GAGTTATTTAGGCAAACATCAGCTTAATGTTTGAAGACTCCAAGCCATTATCCATAGTACTGCTATGAATTCCCATAGGCCCATAGGTAAGCTAAAATAATATATAGGATTTTTAGTTTTATTAAAGAGTTTTTCATAATTTATTTTAAATGTAACGGTTTATTGAAATAACAATTCAAATAAAAACCTTAGCCAGTACATTTTCGCAAAAGCTTGTTGCAAGTTTTGGTTTTTGAAGAGTTTATGGTTTTAGTTTTTTTTTTTTTGTTTAACCCATCATCCTTCAGCATGCGTTATTAAGTAAGTTTTTTTTTATTAACTAGAAACAAAAAATTTTAAATAAAACAAAAAAATAACAAATAAAACCAATCAAGCCAATATTAAACATGCAGTAAAATAATTTTTGTATTTAAATAATAATATATAAATAGGTTTTTTTATTAACATTTTTAACGACGATTGGAAGCTTTGTTATATAAAAGCTCATTAATACACATAAATACAACCCTGGGCGGCGAAATCAATAATTCGATTTGGATATTAATAGATACAAAAGTTTTTTCGTTCAAATCGAATTACGAAATAACCCACTGTACTCACTTGCTACCACGAAGTGTCGTTTTTACACATGCAAATCCTGCTTTCCGTTCAAGTTATTTTATAATGCTGAGTCATTTATATTAGGTCCGAAAAATTATTGGTTTTAAGATAGTCAAAAAACATAGAAGACTAGACTATGGACTAGACTAAAGATAATTCTATAGACTAGACCAAATACTAGACTATACTATAGGCCAGACTAGACTATACTATAGACCAGACTATAGACTAGACTTTAGACTAGACTATACTATAGATTAGAATACAGGCTAGACAATAGATAATAATATTGGCTAGATAATAGACAAGACTATATGCTATACTGTAGACTTGAATATAGACAAGACTATAGACAATACTATAGGCTAGACTATAGACTAGACTATAGACTAAGCCATAGACAAGCTATATACTAGACTATATACTAGACTATAGACTAGACTATATACAAGACCATAGACTAGACTATAGACTAGACTATATATAAGACCATAGACTAGACTATAGACTAGACTTTAAACTAGACTTTGGACTCGACTATAGACTAAAGTTTAGATTAGACTATGATTGTTGAAAAACTTTTTATAGAAAAAAAGCTTAAATATCACGAATTTCTCGAAAAATATTGTTTGTTACAAATAACTTGGAAAAAAACGTAAAAAAAACACAAATACTGGTGAAAATCTCCAAAAGTCCTATTAACCGCTAAAAAACATTTGCAACGTCGGCTTTGGCGGGGAAACGTGAAATTGGCAACAGTGATTGCCAAAATGCCGAAGTGTGAAAATAACAAACCTGACTATTTACTTGTTCGTATATTTGCACCAAAAACTGTGAACTGTGCTATCGACAAACTGTTTTATCTAACCTTTAAATTAAATCTACTTTCTCCTTCCTGCAAATCCATTTAAAAAAAGAAACAACTTTTTTTGTTATTTATTTTGTTGTGTATACATTTCTTAATAAATAATTCCTTGCAAAATTATTTATTAATAATTTTTTCTTTTATTCAGTTTTTTTTATAAGATTTTTTTTCTTAGAAGTTTTTTTTTTGTTGTCGGAAAATACAATTAAAATCAACTTTTATCTGATTTCAACATTTACATATATAGTAATAATCTTCTCTATAATTCTAATAATTTACATAAAAAAATAGGAAAATTGTGTTTTTGAGAATAGGTCGTTGGTTTGCTATATAAATTTTTAGCTTTTTTTTAAGATTTAAATTAAAATTCTTTAAAATTACATGAAATTAAATAAGTGTTTTTAAATTAATAACTTAGCATACACATTACAATTTATTTATAATTCTATAGTTTAATTTTTTTAATATTTGCATTGTTAGTTTTTTTTTAATAATGGATGTGTTTTTTATAAAAATTATTTAAGTAATAAATATTTCTGTAATTACACTGCTGGGGGGGAGTGAAAAAGAAAACTAAAAATGTGGAACAAATTTTAAAAAAATTGTATACAAGTTAATAAATTTTAAAAGAGCAACAGAAAAATTATGGAAAATTATAAACAATTGAAAAAAAGAAGAAATAAATTTAGTGTAATTCGTTTTCTTTGAAGGCCTTTACTGTTTAATATATTTATATCGTATTTTTTAATTTATTAGAAATTACTACTTATTGAGAGGCAGCGAGGTTTTTTTAATATATGTTTTTGTTTCTTATTAAAAAATAAAAACAAATCTATAGCATATTGTTTATATAAATGTTTTACATAATATTTACAATGAAATTTATGGCATATAGTTGTTTTACTATAATATATTTTTATTTTATTTTAATATTATTGCTTAGATTTCTTTAATTGTTAAAAAAAATACTTTGCAAGTAGTTTGAAAAGTGTGATGTTTGCGTAGAATAAAATGAAAAATTGAAGTTAATTAAAAAAAAGGAATTTTGGGTTTTGTAAAAGGAATATTTTGGGAATTTTGTTACGAGAGAGGGAAATTAGAAATTATTTGTAAATTGAAAATATTGAACACTTTTTTTGTAGAGATTTCGAGTTATGAATTCGAGTTTTGAATTTTGTTTTTCTCTAACGAAATCCTTAAAACGTTTTTAAATCAGTTATGGTTATACGAACCAAATTAAAAAATTTAAATCAAATATTTAAAAAAAAAAAAAATTGAATTCTTTAAATCGGAAAACATTTGTGAGATATTTATAAAATAAATATCATTGTATATATTTGTTAAATCTAAATTCTGGTCTATATTTCCTAAAAATATTTGCGGATCTTTAATTTTTAAATTTGTAATGTGTGTGCATTTTTATATTGATTAGATTTTGGTAAAAATTTTATTATCAAAATTCTTTTTTATTAACAATCAAAGTTTACTATTTTTTAGACTTTAAATTCTGATAGTAGATTCGATAACACGTCATTTTGACTATAACTTCAGCATATACAAGTTTATAACCAAATTTTTGTCTGTTTTGATAATACTGTTCGAATAATAATAACACAGGCCAACAAAATTTGAAAGTTAAAACTCACCGATTAAGTTAAACTTTTCTAAAGGATTGAACTGCACTCTGGTTGTTTCAAGCTTTAGGTTAAGATATCTCGAAAAGGGAAGAAGTTATAACAAAAGTTAAAACTTAATATTAAAGTTGACTGTTTAGACTTTATGAATAAAAGTATCCACGCCTTGTTATAACTTCTCAAATATTCCCAAAAATTGGACTCCTTTGGACTATAGTATATGATATTTCGAAAACCTAACACGGAATCTTTAGAAAAAGCATATTTAAGTCTGTGGTTTAAAAAATTTTGTTGGGCTGTGTAATTATTGCAGCATGTTACTAAACAGTCTGTTAAGTTAAAAACGTTATTCAAAAATATGTTGAATTTTTTTTGCTGTTAAAAAGGGGCAACATTTTTCCCGAAAAAATTCAACTTTTTTCCAACACTTTATAAAATTTTGTTTACAATTTATCAGATTTCTTTTTTACGCTGAATATTGTCCAAAAATAATAACACTTTTAAAGCCACACATAAACACACACAGAAAATGTTGCCACCCGTTAAAAAACTTAAATATTTCTTTGTTAAATACACGTTGCAAACTTCACGCTTTATAGTACTTCGTTTTACAGCGTTCGTTGCTTATTTGTGGTAACAACGTTTTGGTTATTTAAAATACCATTTAAATGAAATTATTTTAAATTTAAAAAACGATAAATAATTATAGATAAATAAAAGCCATAATGATTTTGAATTGATTAATTTTGCGACCAATGTTGGATGGTACCATTTGACTGATTTATAATGAAACGCCTTAAGGATCGTTTGATAGTTTGTATGGATAACAGGAATATATGTGAGGTTATGTAAGGATATTTTTAAGGTTAGGTGGTCGAAATGTAGAGCAAAATGTAAATTTTAGTTAAATATGTTTGTATGTATTTAAGTGTGGTTGTATGTGGGTGGATGGGGGTGTAATGTATGCAATATGTTTGAAAAATGTAAATTTTTTGTTGTATGAAAATCTTGCAAAATTTACATGTAATTCTTTAATGATAAATATGTATGTATATATATAAATATTTATATAGTAAGTATGTATATTTAAATTAATATAAAACATTAAAATGTTATATGACTTTTTACAAATAGTATAAATATGTATGTGTGTTGAGTTGTCGTTTTATTATTAAAATTTTTTTTTTTTTGTTCTTCTCATCATTTAAATATTAAATGCCTTATTAAACAATTAATTGTTGGATTAATTACTATTGTTTGTTGTATTTTCATTCTATTGTTTGTTCATTTTGAATTTAAACTTTGTACATTGCGTTTTTTTCATAAAATTTTTCTATAAAACTTTCTTAAAAACAAAAACAAATATTGTATGTTTCTCTATAACAATATTTGCAACAAATATACACTTTAACATTTAAATTTATTTATAATTTGTTGTTGTTTTTCTGCTTAATCAACCCAAAAAATGCATTAAATATGTTTGAAAGAAAAAAAAATTAAACAATTACTACCAAATTTTAAAAAAAAAATTACTAAAAATTTTGAAAATATTAATTAAAAAATTAACAAAATGTTACAAATTAAAAAAAAAAAAACAAGTCAAAAGTTAAAGCCAAAATTCATACAAAAAAAAAAAAAAAAAAAAATTATAGTTTTTGAAAAGAAAATTATAAATAATTTCAAACTGCCTTGATGTAAGGTTTTTTTAAATAAATAAATTACATTCAAATATATTAGATTAGACAAGTTAAATAATAATAAAAATAGTAATAAAAAAATAACTAAATAATATGAGGAAATTTTTGTTTTTGTTTTTTTTTTTTCGTTAAATACAAGTAATGTAATAAAAATATTTATAATAATAATAATAAGAATAAGTAGTAGTACAAGTCAAAACTCACAAATCTAGCTGGTCATAATACAGGAAATCGTCTGCTCCCGCCGTTAGAGGCGTGTGTGATGACTCAGCAGCCGCATAGGGAATATGGCTACTGCTGGCCACAGCATATGAATCGTCTTCATAGCTGGCATCTTCGTTCATTTCGTCGTTAGTCTCCATATCGTTATCATCGTCTTCTGGATCTTCGGCGGCCGAAGTATCTTCCGATGATTGTTCCATGTATTCTTCCATGGAATTGGAGTATCTTACATTGCGTTGTTCTCTGTCGCCACGATCGCTGGTGGTTTCGGCATGCGGATCGTAGTTCTCGAACAGTGTGGTGCTGGGCATCAACGATGTGGTTTCCCAGAATTTTGGCTTTAGCGTTGATGTGGAAGTGGCGGCGGTTTTTTCAGTTGGACTGCCAGAGGCTTTTTTGTTGTTTTTCTTATTGTTGTTGTTGTTGGGGTTGTTAACACCACCTCTTTTGGAATTCTTTTGTTTTTTCTTTGAACCGCCATTATTATTGTTACCATTGTTTTGGTTATTTTTAGCTGCTTGTCTTCCGGCCCCGCCGCCACCACCACCTCCTCGATTCATATTTAGTTTTTTGCCACGGCGATTATTGGGTCCTAAACCATCGGTACCCAAACCGTTTTTACCCTGTCCTCTTTTATTATTGCCCTGCTGTTTGTTTTTAGGGCCACCCTTTTTGGTGCACATGGGAGGCAGCACTATATCAGGGACCCCTGCTTGCTGCTGTTGCAGTAGCAAATCTCGACATTTTTGCTGTCTTATGGGTCCCAGCTGATTGCCACGCCTCGTTATGGATGTGGGGCGATTTAGCGGTGTCGTGCAATTGTGCTGCTCTTCGTTTTCGAAACGCCGGCATTTTCGTTTCTTCCCCGCTTTCTTGCCGCCTCTGTGACTACCGGTTTGAGGTGCTGTACTATTGCTAATACTACTTGTTATTAAACTGTCACTGTGGTGGCTATTGCTACTTGTATGTTTACTATTACTATTGCTATTACTAATATGGCCATTATTTTGACTAATGCTAATACTACTCGGGCTACTACTACTACTATCTCTATTTGTTTCTGATCTGCTATTGCTACTACTACTACTTCGACTATTGGAACTTAAATTATTTTTATCATTGGCAACAGGAACGTTGTTCAAAACTTGGCCATTATTATTAGTAAGCTGGTTTTGATGTTGTTGTTGTTGATTATGATTAACTAAACTATTTTCTTTATCTAAATTTCTACTTAAAGTATTTTTACTATTACTATTATTATTACTATTGTTTGGATTGCACTTGGGACGTGCTTTAAAGTTTTTA